CTGAACCCTGATTGAATCAGGCGCTAATGGACTCGGCATACTAGAGTGACTCTCACCAGTGGTATCCAGAGTAGCTCTGGACCTGCTCAATTCGGATCTGGGAGGGTCCCGAGCTACTCTGGATAGCACCAGTGAGAATGTGCAGGCTCTAATCTGGTGCTCCGATGAGACAGTAGATATATTCAAACCAGTGAATAAAACTGGTTGATTATATTTGAAAGAAAAAATCTAGCTGATGAATGATGATGAAGATAGATTAACAAGTTTCAAGTTCCGAGCATAATTAAGAGTTTAATATAATAGACCAGGCTCTCAGAGTGCTTCAGAAAAAAGGCTTTTAAAATATAAACAGAAAGGAATTAAGTCTTTGCCACAAACTCAAATTTTCTAATCGCTATATCTTTGAAACCTGATGGTGTAAACCTTTGATATTTCAAACTTAGAAAGGAATTGAATCTTATCATAGTCCGATTCAACACTTCACACTTTAAACCTGTCACTTATCATAGTCCGATTCAAAACTGCACTCTTTAAACCAATCACTTATCATAGTCCGATTCAATATACTAGCAATTTAAACCTGTGACTTATCAAAGTCCGATTCAATGCTGCACACTTTAAACCTATCACTTACCATAGTCCGATTCAACACTGCACACTTTAAACCTGTCACTTATCAGAGTCCGATTCAAATTTGTAAACTTTTAACCTGTCACTTATCATAGTCCGATTCAATACTGCAAACTTTAAACCTGTCACTGATCATAGCCCGATTCAACACTGGACGCTGCAAACCTGTCACTTATCATAGTCCGATTCAATACTGCACACCTTAAACCTGTCACTTATCATAGTCCGATTCAATGCTGCACACTTTAAACCTATCACTTACCATAGTCCGATTCAACACTGCACACTTTAAACCTGTCACTTATCAGAGTCCGATTCAAATTTGTAAACTTTTAACCTGTCACTTATCATAGTCCGATTCAATACTGCAAACTTTAAACCTGTCACTGATCATAGCCCGATTCAACACTGGACGCTGCAAACCTGTCACTTATCATTGTCCGATTCAATACTGCACACCTTAAACCTGTCACTTATCAGAGTCCGATTCAATACTGCACACATTAAACCTGTCACTTATCATAGTCCGATTCAATACTGCACACTTTAAACCTGTCACTTATCAGAGTCCGATTCAAATCTAGCGCTTTAAACCTTATCAAAGATGAATTGTTTGAAGCTAAATGATTAATTATTTTCAATTGTGGTTTCTGTGGCAAGGACGAATATTTACAGAATTCAACATTTTTTTGTTGGAAAGACGACAAAATCAGATGCTAAGTTTGAAGCGGACATGTCTACCTCTGTAAACTCTGAGAGCAATTTAACTCTGTAGATAAATTGTACAGGGTTACCCACAAAGAATGAGATTGTAAAGACGACCTGAAACTCTTGAAGTTTGATGAAATCAAGATTAAATCAAGGTCTCTACTTAATATTTATTCTTTCATTGACTTATTTTATGTTTTTGCAAAGTAAGAAACTCTGAATATATACTTATCAGCCGGTATTAATTCCGTACAGTCGTCTCTGAAGTCTCATCCTTTGCGGGTCCCCCTGTATCTCCGAGGTGAATAAAATGCATAAATTATAATTCCTTGAATCCTCAAGTCTACTACACTTTAATCATAGATTAATAACATTATAGATAGGACACTAGATGTCAAGATTTAAGGATTTTCTTCCACAATAGGCAGAAGCCCGAAGGAGTTACGCGCATGCTCTCTGTCTGTCTTGTAATTTAACGCGTTATGCGCTTCTGCGTCAGATTTATTGTGAATGTAAGAACCCCTAATTCTTGAAAAGACGACATCTAGTGTTCATCTGTATTGTTATTAATCTATGACTTTAATATTATAAATTCCATTTCCTTTTTCTAAATTTTTATTCCCTTTCTGACTTCATTTTCTACAGATTTTGCTTCTTTCCAAAATAAATACTTAAAATAACTAAGCATAAATAACTAAAAATATATACTAATCAGCCGGTATTAATCCATACAGTCGTCTCTGAAGTCTCATCCTTTGTGGGTAACCCTGTATCTTA